AAAGAAGAGAAAGAAAAAGAAGTAAAAAGAAGAAAGAAAAGAAAAAAGGGAAAAAAGAAGGAAAAAAAGGAAAAAAAAAGAAAGAAAAAAAAACGAAAGAAAAAAAAAAGAAAAAAAAGAGAAAAAAGAGAAAAAATTGAAAAAATTGTGTTGGATTGCTTCCAAGCGATTAGGAATATATTCGTAACTTCGTAAGGTCGTCAAAGTACTTGCAATTGCAAAACACTCGGTTGATAAAGTATTTGAATTCTGTTTGCTTCTCAAGGTTCAAAGGAGCTGATTCCTTTTATATGATTAAAAAGAATCACGTACACTAGCTAGCTAATAGGTTTACTTGTCAAGTTAAGGTCCTTTGACTGCTAATATGCTAAGCGAGGCATGCCAAGTGGCCCGTGAACCTTGGTTCACGGGTGAGCTCCCCAACTACTCCTACTACTACTACTACTACTAGCTAAGGTCGATATAAGTATACCGACACCGGCAACTCTCTCTTTAGCAAGCAGTGCCTTGCTAACTACTATATCGACTAAAAAAAAAAAGAAAGTAATCAAACAAAAAAAAAAAAAACAATCTTATCTTTCTTTTTCTTACAGCGGCCTTTCCACCTATCCATCTACTTGCACTTTCAAAGTATTAGTCAAAACTAGCTCTTGCAAAAAAGTATTAGCCTCGATTTTAGTTATAGCGTCAACAAGGTTAGATTTTCCTTCGATCTAGCGTACCTTAAAGAGCTCCCGCCTCTCGTATGATTCTCGAATAGCTATAATATCGATTATAAAGCGCTTTTCTTTAATAGTTCTTAGCTTTACTATGCACTCGTAAAGCGAATAAAAGTCAATGCACACTATTACGAAGAAGTTAGAGATTCTTAGTTAAGCCGTGATTTAAGCAAAAATAGTCGATATAGCAATAGCTATATCGATACTTAAAGACATAGCGTATAGCTTAAAAGCTAATACTGCCTTTATCACTTTCTTGCACTTTTATAACACTTAATAAAAGATATTACTCGTTAAAGTGAACTCGTTTTCACTTACGTAAGCTTTATTGCTAAGGATAGCTACGAAACCGATTTAAAAGCTAAAGTTAGCGTTATTAATAAACGCTCCGTCTACGAACACAAAGAGCTTCGCCGTTCTTAAGTTTAAAAGCACGTAATAGATCTTTCGAGTTAAGTAATCGATCAGCTATTAGATCATCTTATTAAAGGCTTTATAGTCTTCGTCTTTTAGTTCTTAATGCTAAGCAGCTATCGATAAAGCGCAAGATGCTTTTAAGTAGCAAATAGTAGTTAAATACGCCTTTCGAGCACGTTGCTTTAAATACTCTTTAGCCCGTATAGCTAAATCGAGCTTGATCATAGCAAGCCTTTTACTTTATTCTTTTTGCTCGATTAATAATCCGAACTCGTTTTTATTTAAAGATAGCTTGCATCTATTAAAAATCATCGGTTCGGCGTATATAAAGGTTTTTATTTCTTTGCTCTTTAGCTTGGATTTAACCAACTCCTTTTCCTCTTTTACCTTTATAGCTCGATTAATAACCATAAGAACATCGTCCGTTTATAAAGCAGCTATTCTTAATTGATCTTTATTAATTGATATAAAAAAGCAAAAGTCAAAGCTTAATTGCTTTATGTCGAAGTTGTTTATAAAGTGCTCGGAAAAACGCTTATACTAATGCGTCTTTGCCTCGAGGATACCGTATAAAAAGCTAATTATAAAGAACAAAGTGCCGGAAAGGAATCGATAAGTGATCTTTTTAAGTAGTCGTACGACGATTATTCGTATAAGCTTTATACTTGATTAAGTATAAGCTTAAGTGATATCTTTGCTATAAACTTAACACCCGTAGTCTTTTATTAGCGAAAGAGCTAAAGCATAACAGAGTCTTTAGCCCGCTCGCTGTATTATAAGCGACTCGATAAATACTTTTATTTTGCTTTTATCTTAAAAAGCTTAAACTACTATACGAGACTTTTCGTATAACGTAAGTGTTCTTTTGCTTTTGATCTTATTAATAAACTTAAATCCGAAGATCTTAACGCTTTTAATACGTAAGTCGATGCTCGAGATTATTTAAAAGATACTTTAAGCTATTAATCTAGCTAATTCTTTTGCTTTAAACTTTTAAAATAATGCTTTAAGGCTTTTAATAACTCTTTCGGCTCGTAGCTTAGTTAAAAGCTTATAGTCTCGGCGTTTTTTATCGGTAATAAATACTTCGGAGTCTTTAGTAAATAAAACGTAAAAATCGCTTTCTTTTTCGTTGAGCACGATCGAGATATTAAGATCGTACTTTTAATAAAGTATTTAGACTATCGGTATTATTAATCTTTAAGAATTAATAAGTTAAAGGTTAAAAAAGCTGTTTGCTAATCTTAGCGAGCTTTTTAAATTAAGCGACCTTAATAGATTAAGCGAATGTTGATGTTTAAGCGAATTTCGTAATTCTAGCTCTTTTTCGTTTTCGCTTTAATTTTCTTTTACTTTTACTTTAAATACTTGCAACTCTTTTAGCAGCTTTTCAACTTTAAAGTAGTAAAGTTTTATTAAGATTGACTTAAATTCCGTAAGTCTCGGATATATTACGGTGCACGTATGCTTTTGCTTATTAAGCAGTTGAAAAAGGTCTTTTTACTTTTGATTTTTCCGTTATACGAGTATTCGTAAACTAATAAAGAGGTTTAAAATATGCTTTATAATTGATCTATTCTTTCTCTTAAGCGCGTCCTTAACTTGCTTAGCGGCGTAGCATTTTCGTACTTCTTTTATAACTTTGTTAATAGCAGCAGCACGCTCTTAAGTAAACGCAGCAAGTCGATCTTGTTTCGTTAGCTTTAGTAAAGTCTTAAAAACGAAGAGTATAAAAACCAAGCTATTAAGTCCCGTTATATCGTTGATAGCTTTAATAGCTATTTAAAGCCGATCTTCTTTTAAAGTCTTAAGAAGCTCTTTTATAACGATCTTAAAAACGCGTCGTATAAAGACGTAGTAGCGTTCTATTAGTCCGACGCTATAATAAGCTTTTATAAGCATTTGCTTTAAAGTGCTGCTAATACTTTTAAAATAGCTTCGGAACGTTGCCGAATTGAAGTTGATTTCGAAATCGTGCACGACGTTTATAAAAGATCCGACGTAAATATTAACTTAATATCGATTGAATCTTTTAAGTAAATGCTATGCGGATATGCTTTTAAAGAAAATAACGGCTTAAAAATTAATAGAATCGCAAACGACGTGCAATACGTTCTTGCCGTTAAAGTATATTACGTTTACATATACCGTATCGTTGAAGTTAGTATTATCTTTAAACTTAATACTAAACCTTTTTAAAGAACGTCCGAATACTTAATAATAATAGCAAAACTTTTAGATATTATAAAGCAAATCCCGTTTAAATTCGTGCCCGGCCCTCTTAAAAACAATAGTAAATCGGCCTACTAAAAGGTGATTAAAACGCTTATAGATAGTCTTTAATTGCTCTTCCGTAAAGTAGTAATAAACGGTTTCGCCTTCGCTTTCGGTACTATAATAAGCAGCAGCGTACTTTTTACTTAATAGCATCTACACGTGCTTAAACATCCTTACTATTAATATTTCTTTCTCTTTTTAAACTAATACGTTTCGCAAATTATCTAAGATCACTTTATGCTTATTTATATCAGCTAATAAAAATAAGAAAGGTACGTCGCTTTTTACAACGTAGAACTCTATTTGACTTAAAAGAATATGTAAAGTAATTGCTTTAATAAAAGTAGCAAAGCCGATACTATATTTAACGGACTTCTTTCTTGCTCGAGATATATTCAATTAGATCTTAAAATACTTTTTTTAAAGTGCTCGTAATTAAAGCAAGCTAGCGATAAAGAAATTAGCTGCTCCGCTATTAATTATAAAGCTTATAAATACGTTTTCAAAGTACTTAAAGACTATATAAGTCTTTGCTTTGCTCGCGGGCATACGCGGATCTTGCTCGAGCATCTTTTAAGTTTGCATTTAATTAATAAAAGCGTAAAATGCCGTTTAAATCTTTAATTGTTTATATACTTCGTTAGCGTTAAAAGTGCTATAAGTAATCACAAAACCTTCCGATATATTAGCGTAGCTGCTCGATTCGAGCGGCTCGTCTAATAAGCTTACGATAAATTAATCGAA